AGCAAAGCTAGCTCTGGCAGAAGGAAGCAAACAGTCATGGGAGACCTTTGCAAGCAGTTGCTGGGCTGCCCCGTGTTAGGGCTCCCCAGTGAAAAATGCCTGTTGGGGCCCCTAGGCCTGGGCTTGAGGTGGGCACCCAGGGTATTCTGCCTGCAGTAGCCAAGCAAAGTGCAGACAGGGCAAGACTCAAGAGGTCTCTCTGGCAGAACAAACCTGACGGAAAACCTGTGTGGAAGTTGCCTGTATGTTCCCTGGGAGTGTGGGAGCCCTCCCTGGGCCCTGGGACCCAGGGGCCATTTCTACAGCAAAATGACCTCTCAGCCAGTGCTTCCCAGTCAGGGATGATTCTCAGCCTGCAGGCAACTGGGGACGCTATCGTCCTTGGTGGCAGGAAAGGTAGGCCCAGAGAGTGGGTTTTTAGGCCTCTTATGCAGCCAGTGTGTGGCTCCTCAGATGCCAGATCTCAGGGCCTGCCCCCAGGGCCTAAATTCCTGAGTCAGGGCCTGCACTCTGCAAGTCTTGCAAACACATTCCTAGGTCAGTGCGGTCCTGCCCATGGGTGAGGAGGCTGTGGGGGTGCATCTGAGGGGGCCAGTGCCATGCCGGGGTCACCTGGCCAAGGGCACCTGACACCTCCCATGGACCCTCAGCAAGGCTTGGTGGGCCGGCCCCTGGAGTGACCAATGCTGGAGTGGGGAGCAAAGCTAGTTCTGGGAGAAGGAAGCAAACTGCCACGGGAGGCCTTTGCCAGCAGTTGCTGGGCCGCCCCACATTAGGGCTTCCCAGGCAAAAAATGCCAGTTGGGGCCCCTAGGCCCAGGCTCCAGGTGGGCACCCGGGGTGTTAGGAAATGCCAAAGAATGTTCAAGTTCAGTTCAGTTCAGTTCAGTCGCTCAGTCATGTCTGACTCTTTGTGGGAGTTTGAGCATACTTTGGCATTGCCTTTCTTTGGGACTGGAATGATAACTGACCTTTTCCAGTCCTGTGGCCACTGCTGAGTTTTCCAAATTTGCTGGCATATTGAGTGCAGCACTTTCACAGCATCGTCTTTTAGGATTTGAAATAGCTCAACTGGAATCCCATCGCAATTGCACTCATTTCACATGCTAGCAAACTAATGCTCAAAATTCTCTAAGCCAGGCTTCAACAGTATGTGAACCATGAATGTTCAGAGGTTTAAGCTGAATTTGGAAAAGGTAGAGGAACCAGAGATAAAATTGACAACATCTGTTGGGTCATCAAAAAAGCAACAGAGTTCCAGAAAAATATCTACTTCTGCTTTATTGACTACACCAAAGCCTTTGACTGTGTGGATCACAACAAACTGTGGAAAATTCTTAAACAGATGGGAATACCAGACCACCTGACCTGCCTCCTGAGAAATCTATATGCAGGTCAAGAATTGTGGTCCTTTAATGGACCGGAACCTGGTGGTATGGAGTAGACAATAAGATAGTAAAAGAGAGAAAGAGGCTGAGATTCCCTGGTTTATGCAGAGGACCAATAAAGCCCTTGACACAGGACTTGCATCGCTCACAAAGGCACCAGGTGCCTCTCGAGGGGGTGAAGGCACCAGGTGCCCTCTCGAGAGGGTCTTAGAAGCAAGAAAGTGAGCACGACGGGTCTCTGTGCTCCAGAGAATCAGCCAGAAAAAGAGAGAGAGAGAAACAAAAAAAGAAAAGGGACCTAAGCTCTGATGGAGCAAAGGTGCTTTAATGATTTTTCTGTGAGTGTATATAGGCTGTGGTACAAGAAACTTCTTTCAGGAATGACAGAGATCAGAAAACCAAAGGTACAGCAGCCGTTACCAAGGGAGCAAGGGGTAATGTTAGTCACAAGGTCAGGAGACAATCCATATCTCAAGAAAGGGGAGCAAGACTAAACAGTTTTGTCATAAAGAGAATGTTTACTAAAGGAGACCCAAGCCTGCCTCACACAATGACCTCAGTCCCTGGGAGCAGCATGCTGTTCCACTTGGAGAGAGACAAAAGACTCATGAGAGACAGCACGTAGGAATCCTCCCGTCAAACATTCCCTGACAAAGAATCAACAGTTAGAACTGGACGTGGAACAACAGACTGGTTCCAAATCAGGGAAGGAGTATGTCAAGGCTATATACAATCGCCCAGCTTATTTAACTTATATGCAGAGTGCATCATGAGAAACGCTGGGCTGGATGAAGCACAAGTTGGAACCAAGATTGCTGGGAGAAATAACAATAACCTCAGATACACAATGACACCAGCCTTATGGCAGAAATCAAAGAAGTACTAAAGAGCCTCTTGATGAATGTGAAAGAGGAGAGTGAAAAAGTTGGCTTAAAACTCAACATTCAGAAAAATAAGATCATGACATCCGGTACCATCACTTTATGGCAAATAGATGGGGAAACGATTGAAACAGTGAGAGACTTTATTTTCTTGGGCTCCAAAATCACTGCACATAGTTACTGCAGCCATGAAATTCAAAGACACTTGCTCCTTGGAAGAAAAGCTATGACAAAACTAGACAGCATATTAAAAAGCAGAGACATTACTTTGCTGGCCCAGGTCCATCTAGTCAAAGCTATGGTTTTTCCAGTAGTCATGTATAGTTGTGAGAGTTGGACTATAAAGAAAACTGAGCACTGAAAAATCGATGCTTTTGAACTGTGGTGTTGCAGAAGACTCTTGAGAGTTCCTTGGACTACAAAGAGATCCAACCAGTCCATCCTAAAGGAAATCAGTCCTGAATAGTCATTGGAAGGACAGATGCTGAAGCTGAAGTTCCAATACTTTGGCCACCTGTTGCAAAGAACTGACTCATTTGAAAAGGCCCTGATGCTGGGAAAAATCGAAGGCAGAAGGAGAAGGGGATGATAGAGGATGAGATGGTTGGATGACATCACTGACTCAATGAACTGGGAGTTGGTGATGGACAGGGAAGCCTGGGGTGCTGCAGTCCATGGGGTCACAAAGTATTGGACATGACTGAGAGACTGAACTGAACTTAAGCTCTTCCTAACTAAGGTCTTGATGATGACTCTACCTAAGGCCCAGACACTGTCATTAATAACCTAACCCTTTCCCTATATAACACCCTAATTGTGGCCCTAACTCATGACCTGACAATGGTCCTATTTCTCTGATCCTGTTCCTTCATAAAGTCAAGAACCTCCTCCTCACAAAGGCCTTGACACTGTCGATAATAAAGACCTGACTTTTTCCCTAAGTAACACCCTGATTTTGCCACTAACTAATGCCCTGACACTGGTTCTAACTACAGCCCTGATGCTGGTCCTATTGAAAGCCCTGAGATATCCCTAAGAAACAGCCTTACCTGAAGCCTTGACACTGACCCTGGCTTAGGCCTTGATGCTGTCCCCTATAGTCTATGCTGTCACTAAATATCCTTCTGATACTGTCCATAACCAAGGCCCTGAATATGTCCCTAATAAAGTCTCCTAAGTTTCCCTAATGAACAGCCTTAACTGACTCTTGCTAAGGCCGTCAAGTTATCTCTGAGGTCCTGGCACTGTCTCTAGGCCCTGATGCTGGCTCTAACTAATGGCCTGACGCTGACCCTCACCAAGTCCTTGCCCAGGAGTCGTCCCAGGCTGCCGGGCAGCTTTCTGTTTTCCTCATCTCTCGCCAGCTGCGGCCATTAGCCATTCTGAGATTCTGTGATGCGGTGGTCCCACATAGGGTGTGGCTGAGGAGGCTTACCTGCCGGAGGACGGTCATGGCCATTCTGAGATTCTGTGATGCGGGGGTCCCCCATAGGGTGGCCTGAGGAGGCTTACCTGCCGGAGGACGGTCACGGCCATTATGAGGGTCTGTGATGCGGTGGTCCCCCATAGGGTGGCCTGAGGAGGCTACCTGCTGGAGGACAGTCACGACCATTCTGAGATTCTGTGATGCAGTGGTCCCACACAGGGTGTGCCTGAGGAGGCTTACCTGCCGGAGGACGGTCACGGCCATTATGAGGGTCTGTGATGCGGTGGTCCCACATAGGGTGTGCCTGAGGAGGCTTACCTGCTGGAGGACGGTCACGGTCATTCTGAGATTCTGTGACGCGGTGGTCCTGCATAGGGTGTGCCTGAGGAGGCTTACCTGCTGGAGGACGATCATGGCCATTCTGAAATTCAGTGATGCGGTGGTCCCACACAGGGTGTGCCTGAGGAGGCTTACCTGCCGGAGGACAGCCATGGCCATCCCACCCTCCAAGGGGCAGTGGCTTGGGGTGGGAATCTCTCAGCAAGTGTCTAACTCAGGTTCTGTGTTGCTATTTGTTGTAAAACCCTTGGGGTTACTTCAGTAACATTTTTAAATGGATCTCCCCCTTGGCATATTTATGAGATAAATTTTTACTGAATTAAAATTCAGGAACATTATTAGAATGAGCAGGAAGACAAAGGATGCCCCCAAATGATCTATTACTTGGAGGATTTTACAATTCTCATGAGAGAAAACTCACTCTCATCACCCTCTAGGCATCAGCATGATATAGGAATCATCTGCATTCTTTATTTATCCCTCTGAATCTTTCAGAACCTTTCCTTCAGGAGAAATCTCTGGGCTCTTCAGGAACTGTGAGTGGTGATGTCAGGTAAATCTGAGACTGAAAAGCAAGAGGAAAAGAGCAGGTGAGGAGATGAGAATTCTTGATGGAGAAGCAGGGGCATCCATGTTCAATCTCAACCTGAGAGTCTGAATTAGTATCCACTGAAAGGAAGGACCACCAGGACCTGGCCCCACTGGCCTTGTCACCTGGTGTAGGGACTGGAGCCACCCAAATTGCCCTGGCCACTTTCAGAGAAATAAATAAGGTGGGAGAACACCACGGGAGCCACATTGGAGAAGGTGACTGCTATGAAGTAACATGTACTTTTCAAGAAAGAGAAGGATGATACTTTGGTTCTCAAAGACTTGCAAAGTTTCCGTGTTGTTCTGGAGACATGTTGAAGCCTCCAGTCTTTGAAGGCAGTGATGAGAAGGAACTGTGCTCAAAACCATCCAGCACTCACTCCTTGAGGGTGCTGAGGATGACCAGTGTCCAGCCCAAGGGTGTTGTGGGCCTGAAACCCCCTTATCATCTGGGATGGAAGGGGCCCCACGGGCACCCCACTGGGTCAGCGGGGTCTTGGCTTGTAGGCTACAGACCTTTTTCAGGTACATGATCTGCAAACATCTTGTGCCATTTTGGATGGCAGATCTTTTCCCTTATTCCTTTTGTGCACAACAACTTTTGTTTTGAAGAAGTCTATTTCATCTCTTTTGTCTTATTTTGTTTGTGGTTTTGGTAGCAGGTCTAACAAATCATGGCCAAATCCAAAATCATGAAGTTTTTCTCTCATGTTTTCTTCTATGGGGTGTATAATTTTGGTTCTTACATCTAGGCCTTTGATCCATTTTTAGTTGATTTTGAATAGTGAGGGAAATAGGGGTCCAACTTTGTTCTTTTGCATGTGGGATCTGGTTGTCCCAGCACCTGTACTAAATGTTGGGGAAAATATTTGCAAATGATGCCACCAAAAAGGTCTAATTTCCAAAATACACAAACAGCACATGCATCTCAAAAAAATACATAATTAAAAAATGGGCAGGTCTAAATAGACATCTCTCCAAAGAAGACATACAGATGATCATCAGGCACATAAAAAGACCCTTCACACTGCTAATTATTAAAGCAATTCAAATCAAAACCACAATGAGTTATCACCTGATAGTCATCAGAATGGCATCGATAAAATGTCTACAAATAACAAATGCTAGTGAGGGGGTGGAGAAAATGAAATCTCATACACTGTTGGTGGGAATTGATGCAGCCACTGTGGAAAACAGTATGGAGGATCCTCAAAAAACTAAAAAGTTGCCATATGAATTAGCAATCCCACTCCTGGGCATATATCCAGACAAAGCTATAATTCAAAAAGATACATTTACCACTGTGTTCACAGCAGCACTATTCACAACAGCAAAGATGTGAAAGCAACCTACCTGTCCAACAACTGATGAAGGGATAAAGATGCATGTGTGTGGCTGTGGGTGGGTGGGTGTGTGTGTGTGTGTGTGTATACAGTCCATGGGGTTGCAAAGAGTCGGACACAACTGAGCGACTTCACTTCACTTCATATATATAAGTATCTGCCATGCACACATGAGGTACAAACATTAGTTAACTTATTTGTGCAACTATGTGAAAGTAATTAATGTCACAAAACTGCATACTTAAAATGAATTAAATGGTTAATGCCACATTTTGTATTTTTAATGACAATGAGAAAAAAATGTAGTGGTCATAAATGTTACAACATAAATGAGTATTAAAAACACCCTTAGTGAGAAAAGCCATACCATAAAAGGTCACCCAGATCCCATATTCATCTTGTTTGCTTTAAATCCATCCATCAAGGCTGTCCAAATGAGGGGAAACTCAGGAATGGCTCCAGGAAAAGAAAACTGGATCAGGATGGAAAAAGGTATCTTCACACAGTTGGGGCAGCAGGTGAAAGTGGAAGTGGGCCTGTGTATTAAACTATGACACAGAAGTCATGATTTCCTCACTGCGGGGCTAGGTGTTGGTTCCTCAGGAGAGTGTCACTGTTTTGGGTAAAACACACTGAACTGTGTGAATTGGCAAATATGAGTACTTTTTACCATTATAAAAATTTTCTGTACATTTTAAATTAGTGGAAAGTGAGTTACTTTTCAAAACAACCATGATAGTACCATTCAAGAAATCAGGTAAGACAGGCATCAGACTTTGTTATAGAGACCAAGACTTACCAGACCAAGTTCAACCAAAGTTGTGACACTTATTTCCCTTGTAGGAGGAGTCCATACATTATCAGTATTAAGAGGCATCGTGGGAAGAGGGTGGTAGTAGCCACTAAGTCGTGGGTCCTATAAATGATCTGGATTGCAGGAGAAAGACTGAGATTTTAGCTTCACAATCTTTTCCATTATTTCAAAAAATACGTTAAAAGATAAATTCAGCAAAAAACAATACACAGAAATCCATTTTTTTTCTATACATGAATAACAAATCATCAAAAAGAATAAGAAAATAATTCCATTCAAAATTCAAGGGAAAAAAACTATCTAGGAATAAATTTAACCAAAGACATAAAAGACCTATAATCAGAAAACTATAGGGCATTGATAAAGATATTGAAAACAGAAAAAAAAATCCTATACTCATGCATCAGGAAAAATATTTTAAAAATATTTTCTACTGAGCCCAAGAGCCTAGAAGCCCATGCTCCACAGCAAGAGAGGCCACTTCCAAGAGAAGCCCCACAACCACAACTAGAAAAAGCCCATGCACAACAAAGACCCAGTGCAGCCAAAAATAAAAATAAAATAAATTTTAATAAAAGTCTATCAACAAAAGAAAAAATAATGTGGACTTTATAAAATTAAAAGTTTCTACTCTATGGAAGACCTTATTCAGAAAACCAAGAGACAAAGCACATACTGTATGTATGCTCAGTTACTTCAGTCATGTCTGACTCTTTGTGACCCTATGGACTATAACCTGCCAGGCTCCTCTGTCCATGGGATTCTCCAGGCAAGAATACTGGAGTGGGTTGCCACACCCTCCTCCAGGGGATCCTCCCAGCCAAGGGATCAAACCTGCATCTCCTATGTCTCCTGTATTTGCAAGTGGGTTCTTTACCACTAGTGCCATTTCCAAAACACATATCTGAAAACGGATCTGACTTAAATTATACCAAATGACCTCTTTAAAGTTTGGTAAAGATTGAAATACACACGTGGCCAAAGAAGATAGATAGTAAATAAGCATACAATAGTACACTAAAGATGCTGGTGGAATGCATGTACAGTCAAACTTGGAAGACAGTTTGGCACTTTTCTCCAAATCTAAACAGTCTCACCTCAGGATCCAAGAAGTGCATCACTTGTATTTAGACCACTGCTTTGCAAAACTGTGAAATAAAAACTAGCATCAAGTAATGTACGAGAGCTCTGTTCATAATAGTTAAAAACTTAAAAGATATCAGGATGTCCTTCCATAGATGCATTCATAAGTAAATAAGGACACAGACATGTCAAGGGGAGCACAATACAGCACACCCAAAATATGCACATTTGACAAAAGGATTATTTTGGACTGATTAATTTTTAAAAAAACAGCAGCACCAGGAGAATCTTGGAAAACTGAGTAGAAATGCCATTTTATGAAGCAGATTTACATTTATTAAGGATATCTCCATCTGTAAGGGTATGTCCCTCTCTGGGACAGGAATTGGATGATGATAAATATCAAGAAAAGCTTGTCTAAGCTAGATGTTAATCTGCAAAACCACCATACCCTTATTTACTGTGATTCACCTAATGAATTCCCTTAAATGTCTTCTTCCATTTCCTAACCTCCTCCTTTCATTCTTAGTTGATGATAGTGTTTAAGGTAAAGTCCTAGACCATTTCTTGGACCAGTCTTGGAATGCAAAAGTCAAGAGATACCAGGAGTAACAGGCAAACTTGGCCTTGGAGTACAAAATGAAGCAGAGCAGAGGCTAACAGAGTTTTGCCAAGAGAATGCACTGGTCATAGCAAACACCCTCTTGCAACAACACAAGAGAAGACTCTACATATGGACATCTCCAGATGGTCAACACCGAAATCAGATTGATTATATTCTTTGCAGCCAAAGATGGAGAAGCTCTATACAGTCAGCAAAAACAAGAATGGGAGCTGACTGGAGCCCAGATCATGAACTCCTTACTTCTAAATTCAGATGTAAATTGAAGAAAGTAGGGGAAATCACTAGACCATTCAGGTATGACCTACATCAAATCCCTTATGATTATCCAGTGGAAGTGACAAATAGATTTAAGGAATTAGATCTGATAGACAGAGTGCCTGAAGAACTATGAATAGAGGTTTGTGACATTGTACAGGAGGCAGTGACCAAGACCACCCCAAAGAAGAAGAAATGGAAAAAGGCAAAATGGTTGTCTGAGGAGGTCTTACAAATAGCTGAGGAAAGCAGAGAAGCTAAAGGCAAAGGAGAAAGGAAAGATATACCCATTTGAATGCAGAGTTCCAAAGAATAGCAAGGAGAGATAAGAAAGCCTTCCTCGGGGATCAATGCAACAAAATAGAGGAAAACAATAGAATGGGAAAGACTAGAGATCTCTTCAAGAATATTAGAGAAACCAAGGTAAGTTTTCATGCAAAGATGGACACAATAAAGGACAGAAATGGTATGGACCTAAGAGAAGCAGAAGATATTAAGAAAAGTGTTAAAACACAGAACTACACAAAAAAGATCTTCATGACCCAGATAACCACGATGGTGTGATCACTCACCTAGAGCCAGACATCCTGGAATGCGAAGTCAAGGGGGCCTTAGGAAGCATAACTACATACAAACCTACTGGAGGTGATGCAATTCCAATTGAGCTTTTTCAAATCCTAAAAGATGATGCTGTGAAAGTGCTGCACTCTATATGCCAGCAAATTTGGAAAACTCAGCAGTGGCCATGGGACTAGAAAAGGTCAGTTTTCATTCCAATCCCAAAGAAGGGCAATGCCAAAGAACGTTCAAACTATCACACAACTGCCCTCATCTCACACACTAGCAAAGTAATGCTCAAAATCCTCTAAGCCAGGCTTAAACAGTACATGAACCATGAATGTACAGGTGTTCAAGCTGGATTTAGAAAAGGAAGAGGAACCAGAGATCTAATTGCCAACATCTGCTGGATCACAGACAAAAATAACAGAATTCCAGAAAAACATCTACTTCTGCTTTATTGATTATGCCAAAGCCTTTGACTGTGTAGATCACAACAAACTGTGGAAAATTCTGAAAGAGATGGGAATACCAGACCACCTGACCTGCCTCCTGAGAAATCTGTATGCAGGTCAAGAAGCAACAGTTAGAACCAGACAAGGAACAAGGGACTGGTTCCAAATTGGGAAAGGAGTACATCAAGACAGTATATTGCTACCCTGTTTATTTAACTTATATTCAGAGTATATCATGTGAAATACTGGGCTGGATGAAAGACAAGCTGGAATCAAGATTGCTGGGAGAAATATCAATAACCTCAGATACACAGATGACATAACCCTAATGGCAGAAAGTGAAGAGG